ACTAAGGCTCAAGGGGAATCTACTTAAGAATGGAGGTCTCGAACGGGCGGCACTGTGAACAGAGGGAGAGGAGATATTATTAAAGGCATGGCAGGGAGAAGGCTAACGAGGTAGTGGCAATTCTCAAACTGATCTCTTACTTGGCAGGCGGAGTGGAGGGGAGCTTCGGGGGGAAAATACTGTTGGCCGGGTGAGTGTCCAGTGATCCAGAGCAGTGAAGGCAGGCAGGTGACGTGAGATCCAGAGAACCGGAAGCAGAGGTGGCCAGCGTCCAGTTAGAGGTGCAAGCTGTTGGTGGTGGGCATGATGGAATCCAGGAACTACTGAGGGCACAAGGAAGAAGAGGTAAGTAATTGTAGGGATGAAAAGTAAGGCACAAAGAGAGACCTGTTACTAACAGAGATTAGGTATTGGATGAGGACACTGGTCCTAAATACTGTCTGTTGACAGCTCTTGATCACTGCCAGGTGAGCAAGCAGATGCAATGACAATGCTCCGCCCAAAGGCGTGAACTACAGCCAACTCACCTGGACCATGACAGATTGTTTATGCTTTATGATATCCAATTAAGTAATACAACATACTATCTTCAGATAGCCACATGACAGTTTCAGGACTTCAGTCAAATCTATTCTTTCCCTACTCCAGGCCAGCCTCCACAGCCTGCACCAGTGCAAAACCGTTTGTTTGTTTGTTGACTTATAAAAACAATGGTCAGGATTTAATAAAGAGGCACACTTTCAGCTCTGTGAAAAGGCTAAAAAGTGTGGGCAGATGTTTTATTTTTTTGGAGCTGGCCTTGTTACATTTGTATTTGCAGGAATTTCCCTGAAAAAAAAAAAAGGGAGGATGGTATTTAAATGAATCACAGAAATGTAATTTACCAAGGTTTGCCATACAGAATGAATGAATTGAAAAGATATAAAGATGGATCATAAATACGAAAAATGAAGCATGCCTATTTGCTATTGAAATCATAAATTGAGAAATAGATGTTTAGAGAAAACACTGGCAAAAGAATAAGGTCAATGAAGAATAAGAAGAGTATATCAAAGTATATATCAAAGAATATAATTTGATTAAAGTACAAAAAAATGAGCGAAGAATCATCATCCTTATTTGGAAAGACCTACAAACATTTACTAAAAACATATAAGTTGACTCGGGACACTGTAATGTTTGTTTATCTACTCGGCCAAGATTTACCGACTGCATGAAATTCACTTTTAGCAAATAGTTTACTCTCCAGAAAGTAGGTGTTTTTCCTTTAATCAGTGTGTTTACAGGAGCTGTTCGGATCAGAGTTGCCACTTCTGACATTTTCATGAATGTGGTGTAATAAATTAGTGACCCTTGTTCTCTGACCAGTCATTTGTCTGACTGACATTGTGGAATGAACTCTGGTGTCTTTTGCATAAACAACTTGATCATTTCTGCCAGCCACTGGCTGCATGTGTGTATGTACTGTATTCGTGTTTGTGTGCACATCTGTGTATCGTTTCAGTTTTTTATGTTTCTACACATAAAAAAGATGACTCACCACATTTTGCCTTTGTGGAGTTGTGTACTTGTGTGACTCAGTCACTGCAGTGTGTTGTTTGTTTTCATTATGGGTGTGTGTCCCCTATGGCTTTTAACTATAGGAGCACAGAGATGAATGGAGCTCTGTGAAGCAACATGGATTTCACATCCTATTGCCTCCTTCCTTTGTCTTTCTGCTGCACAGGAAGAGGGAAAAGGTGCACAGTATGGAGACAAAGACGGGCAGAGTGAAGGGACAGATGAAAAAGAAGGAGGAATAAAACAAGGACAAAAGCAGGAAGAAAACACAGCGAGAGGAACAAAAATAAAAAAAAAGATTTAAAAAAAGAAAGCCCATACAAGGGGTTTGGATCTGGTTGATATCGACTGACCTGTCCATTTCAATTTTCGCCTGGCAGATGTGAATGCTCACCTTTATATTGGAGCTTCATGCTGTCTTTTTACTTCATGCTACGTGAAAAACATTCTTGTTGCTGTTTTTCCACAATAAACTCTTTATTTGTAGCATCATTAAGTGCAATGTATTTTTCCCTCCCATAGGTTGCACTTTAGTATCCAATATCTTTAGATTGGTTTTTGTCCCTGTCTCCTTTGAATGGATTTGTTTAAAAACTCTACAAGCTCCGAAAGGGCTCATTTCATTAGTGTTTTAGACATGTCTGTCAATTATAGCCTGTCCAATTTTAATTTACATGTGGAGAAAAAAAACAATATTTAAATTGTTCACATTAAACATTTATTGTCAGTGCAATTGATTCTTCAGGTGACTTCAGCTGGACAGATTGCATGTCTTATTGACATATTGGCAAACTAATGTAATAAATAAAATGTGGAGGACAAAAGCAATGAAATCTATGCTAACAGGATAGCCACAATAAGGAAGCTTGTGAAAGCACTGTCTAGAGATCTCTACAGAAAAAATGTAAAAAACAGCATTAAATTTTGATAATTATTTTCAGTCCCTATAGATAACTCAGTTAACTGTTAACAGTTGTAATTTCAAAATAAAAAATAGCACATCACACATACACAGGTGTGCATGTGTTTTTTGGAACTGGGATTTTCCAGTCGTATACACATGAAAATGCAAGAAGGGAAATAGAATTTAATTAAGCACTGTCAAGACCAACTTGCAGAGATATTACTCCAATCTTATATTAACATTAGCCTATTAGAAGCATAGAAACAATAACCCATTCTGAAATTTAAAAAAAGTATGTATATGCCCAGAAAGTACATAGTTGCATACTTTTGCCATTGCATGATACATTCTTGTAGTTTCTCCATACATTTAGTTTGTGCAAAGTTCCCTTTTAAATTTGTCCAAAGCACATAGAACATGCTGTGCTGTGTGTGGACCTTCATGTATTTCGGAATAGGTTTTTTTTGTTGTTGTTATTATTTTCTTTTTTGTTTTTTAGCTGTACGAAGTCCTTCTGGGAAAAACTACAAACCTGTCATACAAACAAATATTACAGAATATGATTCTAATGTTTTTAAAGTTAGCTTAGCTTTTACAATCTGCAGCAGTCATACTGATCCACATAATAGTGACAGGAAACATTTTTCTGCAAAATAATAACAGTCGCCCAAAGGAGGCTATTAATACACAGTACTGAGGTGTTTAGTGTGGTTTTGCTTCTTTTACAGCTCTTAAACAGTTCCTTTCTTTTGAGTCCTTGTCATGAAACGGTAAATATATTGTTTTTATTATCACTATAGTCATTTTCAACAATTCTCGAGCCAGGAAGCATTGCAGAATGGTGAAGATATCCAGACAGAGTTCATCAACATCCAGGAAACTGTCAAAATACAGAATACCCATCTGTTCTATGATCTGTCTGGCTTACTTTATGAAAACGCCACTGCTACACGTTTAGGTTTGGGCACCTGTATCAAAAAAACCCAAAACAAAACCCAACCTGTTTGATTAGGTTTCGGTAATAAAACTATGTGGTTCAGTTGAGGTTATAAAAAATTATATGTTTAGGGTCCGGCATATATGGTACAGTCACACTCGGGCAAAACAGTGGTTAGAGACTGAGACTGCACTATGACCACATTTTTGTGACTATTGCAGTGCAGCTCATTGGCATTGTCTTTGAAATAAGACATAGTAAGTTGTTGTGTTCAAAACAACTTTGGTGTCTCGAGATGCAGTAAAACGGCTATAAGATGGAATCAGTTTCCTCTCAGTGTGGCCTGTTTGTGATCGAATGGAGTCAAGTTGCTCATCAATTCAATCCTGCAATCCATTTGTGATAATAAGCTAATAACTGATAAATCAGTGAAGACTGCAAGCTGTTGCCTTCTGATGCAAATCTGGGAATCTGTCTGTGTTTATAAATCAGCAATTATTAGCATTAGCAATTATAGCCAAACCTTGGGTGAGAGTGATTGCTGTGAGTCCTGAATCGCGATTTTTTTTTTGGAGACAGGTTGCCTCCCAATAGTTGACCTATGCAATTGTCGTGTGATTGAAAGTGATCCCCAGAGGTTTAAAGTGTTGCATAGTCAACTTCTTCATGACAAGTTAGTCACAGTAACTAATGAAAACTGCATGGCTAGGTTTAGATAATATAGCCTACTTGGTTACACAATATCAAAAAAACTCTTACTCTTACTCAGTTGTGCTGAGTGTAAATAAAAAGCAGGGCAGTCATTTGCGTTTTTGTGACTATTTTATGTGCAACAGTTTACAACTTCTTTAACATCAAATTAATTTCCAAGAAATACCATAAACAGCAGTTTTCATAGTTGCATCTTATTTTTTTTGACCACAGTGCACATTAAACATTATATTTATAATTTTTTTTCTAAATTATGTTTTTTATCAATAGATTGAAAGCAACATCCACATTAAGCTTAATTAAATCTTATTAGTGTGTCCAGCTGGTTAGATAGAAATGCCTAAGGGTTTCTCCGGATATGAAAACACTAAGGGAAAATAAAAGTACAACCACTGACCCATTTTGAAGTTGTGTTTTTGTGGATTACTTTAGGAGGGTTGAGATCCTAAATAATATCATACCTCAGCTTCATCTTTCAGTATGGAAATTAAAGAAAGATGTATTTTTTTTACCATTGTAAAAGTGACTGCTGGCTTCTTTTATGCATTTGTGATATTTTCTCAAAAAAAAAGGTTAATGGTTACTGAAACATAAGGAGAACGAGTGAGAGACGATGTGCACTTGTACTGCCCTACATCTCCTCGACAATCCCCAAGCCACACCCATATTCCCTCATCCACATTTTGATTGGTTGGGCTGCAGGCAACAGTCTGCACTCTGTCCCCTCTCCCACCGCCTTTTTCCTGCCTTCTTGCTCTCTGTCTCTCCCCCCCGTTTCTGCTTTCCCCTCTCATCCATCCTCCCTCCCCCTCCAATTCCCCCCGCTCCATCTCCCTCTCCATGCAGCTTGCCAGTGAATGAGTCCAGTCAGACACAAGCTGTTTAACAGTGCAGTCTCTCTCTCTCTTTCGCTCACACATCTCTTTTACTCTCTCTCTCTGTCCTCTCCCGTCTCTGGAGCAGACAGTCAGTGGAGCATCGGCACGGCATCAGAGCGGCACAGGACTGACGGAGGAGGACGAAGTCGACAACTGCTGACAGAAAACAATTAAGAACATTTACGGCAGAACATCAATTGTAATACAGTTGAAAGCAGAGCAGAAGCAACAGATTGCCCTCACTTGCAATTGCTGCTACAACTGATGTTCTGGGCTTGGAAATGAAGCAGACTGGGAACAGCTCCTGGCATCTCGTGGTCAGTTTCTCTGTCTGAAAGAAATGCTTTTGCTCTGTACAAAGAGGAAGGAATTAACAGTGCTGAGCGACAGGAACCAAAAGCTTTGATTCAGTCGTAAAGCAACACGTTGCTGGGCGTCAGCACCACCTCCACCATCAGTGTCTCCTCACATCCACATCTTCCTTTCTACACTGGGATCTAAGGAAGAAATTCGAGCTTTGAATGCACAAACAGGAGGATGTTAGACTGGCATGCAGAGTGCAGAGTTTAGGGAGTTTTGCTGTGAATCAAAGAGCAAGATCTCGTTTTAACGGTGCAGGTGAGATCGGGTGCCGTCAGTAGTTCCACCTGACTCTCATTTTGACTTCTGACGACATGAGAGACATGAAAAGGACAATGCACATGAGGATCAACAAACCAGAAGCCAATAACTAGAGGAGAGATGACAGGAAAAGAGAGACCTAACCCTGGAGCACACGGTCACAGATAGATCCATAATTATTCTTTGAAACTATTTACCTGATCAAAAGTGAGCAACCTTGACGTATATCTTTCCACATTTCAGATTTCTATCATGTTTTTGCACCAGAGGACATTAATTTCACATACAGAGAAAGACGAACAGCAAAAACTTTATTTCATGTCAACTTGTGCCACCAGTCAGTGCAAGTAACTTTCTGCACCGATTCAAGTCGGTGTGAGTGCCTTGGGGCTCTCATTTGACTGTTCTTTTTGGAGTGAAGTGGATCTGCCGTGGGGGGCAGCTGACAACCATCCAAGACGCCGCGAGCCGTACTCCGCGTGAAAAATGCCCAGCCGCGCTTGGCCAAGCCGGCCGACCCGGGCCCGACGACGGGCCTCTACATGGAGAGGTCGCAGAGCCGCATCAGCCTGTCAGCGTCCTTTGAGGCCCTCGCTATCTACTTCCCCTGCATGAACTCCTTTGATGAGGATGATGGAGGTAAGTGGTAATGAAACACACACACATATGCGCAAACCTGCAAAGGACATCAACATGACTGATGGATTAATTCATAAAACACAGGCCTCCAAGATACATTATTTGTGTCTGTTAGGCAGTGAGTTATGTAAAACCTGCCAGAACTTGAAGGACAATCTCCTTTCAGCATGGGTTCATTGATCTAAAACCTAATAGGTAGTTTTTTCCTTTTTTTTTTTCAATTTTTAATATTCAATATTTTATCAGTCATTTTTTTTATAGTGGATGGAGGTCATTTAAAAATACCACATAAGAGAGCAGTGCCTAGCACTACAACCACAAAGACAGTAATATATTACTTTAATAGGAACTATTATCTATCAATATTTTACTGAAACAAAGTGAACAACAACTAAAAATAAAAGCAATCATCCTCTGAGACTGTCTGTCTATATCTGCCCCACTAGAGGCGCTAAAGTTATAAATATGGATATGTCATGTCTGCAGAGACTCTTGTGGCTTTGGTTGTCATTGTCAGTTTAAGCATTCTGTCAGGTATGAGAGTAAGCTGGTATTACTGTGTTGGACTTTTAGCAGAACTGTGGGTAGATAATGTGCATTTTCTACTATTCTAACACTTTGAAGAGCAGATATGTTAAGTGCATAAAAAGAAGTGAAAATCTTTACCAGTGATATCGACATTACATCTCTGTATGTGTGTCTATGACTGAGCGTGGCGCTGTGGTATATCATGTGTTGCATATGTTTGTCTCTGCGCTGTATACCACATATACTGTACGTTCATGCCTCTGTGGTTTCATTGTCAGGTTCTCATTGTTCAGATTGTCATTGCAACTATGCAGAGGGAGAAAGACAGCAAAGCCTATGCACACTTATATCCACTTTCATTGATGAGATTGCTGGTAGGATAAAGTAATTCCTCAAACTGGATGCATTAGATGATGTAATGTATTTTGCTCCTGAACTGGTATTATTGCAAACTACGTAACCTCTGATTCACTGTCGTATTAATCCTGCCTAGAAAACTGCATTACTAGTATCTTTTCTAGAGCCCAATTCATACTGGATTATTTGGCAGAGTATGCATTTTTTTCTGTTTCCTGTTGTTTGTTTGTTAAGTAACATTGGAGGACAATGAGCTGTGGTGGATAAACTGTGTTATGACTGTCTTTCCAAAGGAAACCACGCATCGTATCAAGGTTAACAACATATGTGGAAACGAATTGACATAAAGGGCAAAAGTGCTTTTAATCCATCTAAAGATATATATATATATATATAAAATCCTGGTAAATTGGCTTCACCAGGGTTTTTATTTTTGGTATAAAGAATGTAAATGGGGAACACAATGTTCATGTATAAAAAAATTTATAAGAAACTTTTCATTGTAATTGAAAAAAAACAAATTCCACACAGTTAACATGAAAACAACAGTGAAAAACACACAAACACCTTCCTTACAATCCACTTGTTGTGGCTGTTTGATTGACTTGATTACCTTTATGAAATTACCTTTGTTTGGTTATAATGCATGTTTTTACCACACTATTAAGAAAAGTCATGTTAAAATGTATCCCATATGTTCATACAGTATATATTGCCAAATGATTTTGAAAATCTACACAAGTTTGGTGCATATCATTCTTAAAACACAGAAGATCAAAATTAAAACAAGTCTTAAATTATTTATGTGTTACTCTGTTTTGAAGACTTGGTCTATTTGTTAAAATGTAACTCTAAAACCAATAACTTTTAGAGTTACATTTTATGACAAACTCTTATTAATGTTGTCCACACACATGCAGAAGTGCTTTTTATTGTTTTTGCGGAAACCTACACATTGCAGAGATAGCCATAGATCTAAAAGCTGTGAGATCAAATAACAGGCTGGCCCATATACAGAGATGTGTATAAAATGTTCATCCTTAAGGACATTTTAACTGTGAATTTAAAAGTGTAAATGCTGCTCTTGTGTCACAGACATTTCTAAATCATACAGGAGAGATAAAAGGCCCAAACGGCAGCAGTCTGCATTTTTCTTATTTTAAAGACAGTTAGAAGTATTGGAATAGTTGGAACATGAGCCATTATTGGCTGAGACCACCTGTTATAATTATTTACATAGTAAATCATAGCAGTTTTCAAACCAACACATGCAGCAACTGTGTCTAACCAAACCAGCGCTTAGAGGACTGTTTTTAGAAATATTGTGTACACCTGCGCCTGCTCAAGAGCACACAGACACACACACATTAGTGTGGTTATCTCTGTTGACTTCACCTGGACCCACAACACCAACACCCTGGAGAAGGACCAGCAGTGGCTGTACTTCCTCCGTGTGCTGAGGAAGAATAACCTGGACCGGAAGCTGCTGCTGGCCTTCTTCCCCTCCTCAGTGGAGAGCGTGCTCTCCTGCTGCCTGGGTGTTTGGTATGCAGGGGCCACAACTGAGAACAGGAAGGCTACGCAGAGGGTAACTAACACCACCCAAAAAAAATAATTGGCTGCCCTCTGCTACCTCATGAGGCCATAGCCAAATCCTCGTGTGTCAGGAAAACCAGTGCCAAAATCACAGGTGAACCCTTACACCCCGCCCACCACCCGTTTGACCAGCTGCCCTCTGGTCAATCAGGTCCCACACCTCCAGGATCACAAACAGGTTCTTCCCCTGGGGCATTCAGATTGTTAACAAACACTATCCCCCCACACCCCACCCATCTCACCAATCTGAGCCATGGTATGAGTAACCCCATGACTCAGGCCTCTGACATAGGGACTCTATTCAGACTTTTCTTTGCACTACTTTTAAGAACTTTGCAACTATTTTTTGTTCTCTAATGTCTGTCTTTCTCCTATTTTTTTGTATATATTCCTCTTGATTGTTTATCTTTCTCCTGTTTGTTATTTATTCCTGCTGTCTACTTTTTATATTTTATTCAGGCACAGTTGGTGTGGAGCACCCACAATCTCATTGTACATGTAGAATGGTATTCAGGATGAATCAAAACTAATACTCAAGCAGTCATTTCATGGTGTAAGCACTGCACGGGAAAGCTCAGTCTCTTACCAGCACAAGCACGCTCTTCTATGAGCACTCATGCATTGACAAATAGACGTATTCCCATGTCTAGACAAACAAATTTATATGTACAGGCATTTGTGATCGTAGGTATGCTGTATGAGCAAATACGCAGGTAAGCCTCAAGACACAAGCGCGCACACACAGGAACATGAAAGCAGTGTGTGAGGTAATCAGAGCGAAGCGACAGGCCGTGGTTTGTGGCTCTCCATCTAATTAAATGCTAATATGGCTGCTGATTGTGGCTGACTGCAGCTAAATAGAGGCCTGATTGCAGGTTAATTCTCTCTCTCCCGTTTTCTGTCTCATTGTCTCTCTCACATGCTCTCTCAAGCCTTCACTCCCTCCCTGAGCCATTTTCACTCTGCAGTTTTGAAATCCTGTTTGCAGGTTAGCTCTGTCTTTCCACCTTAAATTGCCTTTTAATCGCTTGACTTCTTGTTTCCCTTCCCCTTCCTTTTTCCCCTTCCCTTGCTCTCTTTGTTTCATTTGTCCTCTCTCTCGCTTCATTTCAGCTCAATTCAAATATGCTTCTCTGACAGCACAGGAAGGAGAGTACTGTTCTAACAACAATAAGAAAGAACAGGTGAAAAAGTAGAAGCAAGGCAAGACAGTAGCCCTATCTGCAAGGGTACATCTCACTGATGTGCTGGATTTAAATTTACTTTAAAAGAACTGCTAAAAGCAATTGTAGGATTTTAGAAGCCATCACAACTACTTGTTTTGACGGTCAGATGAGGAGAAGAAATTGCTTGGCTTGAGTGTGTTTTATAGCTAAAACACATCCATTTTATTCATGGAAGTATTTCTTAACACTTCTGCAAATTGACCTGTGTCCTGCTTGTTTGTTTGCTTAGCTTGGTCACTGACAGCACACCGCTGCCTTGTTTTGGAGTATATTTGCACTCTGTATTTGGTCAGTAATGTTTATCCTGTGTGTAATATTAAAAATGTAATTTATTATATTGGGATTAGATTGAGCTCTGAATAAGTATTACATATGACAGATATAATATTTACCTTTTACTGTCAAATAGAGGTGACACAATATGGAAACCTCAAAATTACATCACATGATTAAGGTGACAATCAGTGGGCAGCAGCATGGCTTCATGCCAGGAAGGAGCAGCGATGATGATGTTTGCTTTGAGAATGCTGATAGGGAAATATGCAGAAGGTCAGATGGAGCTACACTGTGTCTTTGTGGATCTACAAAAAGCATAAGAGAGAGGAAGAGTGGCATTTTATGAGGAAGTCAGGAATTACAGATAAGTATGTGAGGCTGTAGCAGGTCATGAGGACAGTGCGACAGTGGTGAGGTGTGTGTAGTAGGAGTGACAGATGGGTCAGAGGAGGGAGGGGTGGGATTACATTTGGGACTGGCTCTGAGCATCTTCGTGTTTGCAGTGTTGATGGACAGGTTGATAAATGAGGTCAAGCAGGAGTTTCTGTGGACTAGGATCACAGTGTGATCTGCAGTGAGAGTAGGGAGAAGGTGAAAGAGAGCCTGGAAAAGTGGAGGTATGCACTCAAGAGAAGAGGAGTAAAGGTGAATAATGCAAGACAGAATATGTGTATGAGTGAGAGGGAGACAGATGTAGCAGTGAAACTGAAAGGAAAACAGGTAGTAAGGGTGACTGCGTTTAAATACCTGGAGTTCACCACCTAAAGCAGTAGACAGTGCACAAGAGAGGTGAAAAAGAGAGTGTAGACAGGGTGACGAGGGTAGAGAGGAGTATCAGGAGTGATTTGTTCCAGAAGGATCGCAGCAGGAATAACCGGGAAATTTACAAGATGGTAGTGAGACCTGCTATGACTTACAGTTTGGAGACGGTGGCACTAACAGGAAGACAGGAGGCACAGCTGGAGATTTTTCTTGTGACTGATAAGAATGGACAGGATTAGAAATGAGCATATTTTA